AAGTTGTGAACCCGAGTCAGCCAGGGGACCTGGGGCTGGACTTGCCTCCGACTTCTCATCTGTTAAGGGAGAGGTAGTTTCAGAATACGAAAGTCAAGAGCAGCCCTGACCTTTCCAATGCAGGCCTTCCTAGCAATGGTGGTCAGGGCCTGGCACTCCCAGCACAGACGTCGCACGCGGCTGATGTGCTCAGACCAACATCCCTAACCAACGATACGGCTGCGTCTACAGAGCTCCTACCAGGCAGCGAGCCCGCGTTGTCCCTTTCATAATACATTGTCTTATTTTCTCCACAAAACAAACTATTGTGTATTGTCCCCATTTCCCCCTGAGAAAACTGAGGCTTAGAATAGTTATGCAATCTGTCCGAGGTCACACAGCCAAGAAGTGGCACAGCCTAAATTCGAACCCAGGCCTACTTAACTCTGTGGCCCATGTCCTTACTCACTGTCCTCTACCACTTCAGGACTTATCAGGGACACTTCAGGAGCTGGAGTCAGAGCAAGGATCTGATCCCAGCTTCGCCACTTCTTCCTAAATCAATAGCAAATGGCTTAAACTAGATCCCACTGCAGTAATATAAGCGTAACGGTAACATCCGTCACAGGTCGTGAGGAAAGTGCCAAACACAGCCCTTGGCACATGATAAGCCCCAATAAATGTTAGCTGTTAGTACTGATGTTACTATTACCACCTGTCGTTATGCCCTGTGCCCTTACTACTTGGTAATCCCTGCTGTGTGTGTCAGAGAGAGATTTTTACTATAGGACTTGAGCACTCACTGGAGACACAGGGACAGACGGAGAGAGAGAAAGTGAGAAATCACCCCCTGGGGGGGGGAGGTCATGCACAATCCCTTCTCCATTCTCTTCTCGGGATTTTGAGCCTGCACACACACACATGCCCAGAGTGAGTTTCAAGCCACCAGGTCTAGGACTTGAACCACAGTGAGACATGTGGAAGTCCAGTGCCATAACCACTGTACCACCTGCTGGACCCCAGACTCTCACTTTCGAGTACATCAGTGATCTGAAGGTTGCCAGAGAGTCCTTCATGGATTCCACATCCCTTGGCAATATTCCTGGATTCCCTCAACCCCAAACCCAGGGAAGGCAACTGAAGGGAACCACCCCAAAGCCCAAGGGCTGAGGCCACTGTCCCCCTAGGGTGGGTCCCCCAATATCGGGGCTTCAACCTAGAGTTCTAGTGCCCTTTCCTAGTCCCCAAGTCCTCACCTGGGGGACCAGGCCCAAGGCCAGGGCCAGGGCCAGGGCCCAAGGCAGGACTTGGCCGGGGCTGGAGAGCAGGGCACTCGAGGCCACGGGTGAGCCTAGCCAAGGAGACGTTGGAGATGATGTTGGGGGGCACGTTGAGGATCGAGGTGATGTGTAGCGGGAGGTTGACGTTGTAGGGGTCTGAGATGTGGACGCCAGCACAGCGCTCTGCCCGGCTGCTGCCCCCGGCCCGGCCAGCCGACCGCCCGGCCCGCGGAGTGCCGGGCTCAGAGTTGGTGCCACCCAGTGCCTCCGCCTCGGGCTCCTGTTCCCCCTCTGCTGCCTCCATAGAATCGTTCTCCGAGTTCTCAGGCAGCAGTGAACTAGACCGGGGACTGCTGGGTCCCACCAGCCCCTCGGGCTCTGTGGAGGAGAGAGAGGCCAGATAGACAACAACCTCAGCTCCAAGGAGCCAAGACTCCTCAAGAAGGTGCTAGAGAATGCTTTGCTTTCTTGGGCCTGGGAGCCAGGACAGCCTGGAAAGCACCAGGCCCAGCTTCCCTTGGCCACTACAGCAAATCCCTACCCACCCATAGATCAAGTCACCCCACCCACACATAACCAGGGAACCCCCTTCCTTCCCCACAGTGACAGTCATTGGCCATCATACCCCCCAAACACATGCCACTGTCACGTCAGGAACACTTGCTGCTATAAACAGTATCCAGAACGCGGCTGGTGAATCATGTGCCCTCATCGAATAGCTTTGAAGTTACTGAACGCAGCTGACAACACTTACAGACACACGCAGGCCCACGCCACGGTCACACTCCTGCACACATGCACACCTGTACTCACCCTCACTGGCCCCCGCCGCGGCACTCAGTGAGTCCATGCTCTTGGCTGGCCGCAGTGTCCCCTTACTGGATTTGTCCTCTGCAAGGCAGGGATGCGCATCAAGCCCGGGCCTGGCACCTGCTCAGCAGGCCCTCCCACCTCTGCAGACTTACCCCTGTCTTCAGCCCCCCGAGGAAGTTTACGCTTTGTCTCATGGCCAGACCGGCCCAGATTGAAGATAGATCTCCACTTTCTGACCTTCAACGACCCCTTCCTTCTACAAGGAATGGAGACATGACCAGGAGGTGGAGCTGGGGGTCTGTGCAGGGGAGGAGGGCCAGGAAGGTAGACTTACTTGTGCTCCGCAATCTCAATGATCGTGTGGTAAGGCCGGATCTGGGGGGGCCCATCGCCAGCCTGCAGGATGCTAGGCAGATGGTGAGGCAGAGACCTGGGCATCAGGTCCTCGGGGCTGCCCGACGCCCGGGCCCCTGGGAGCAATCGCCATCCACTCTCCACCTCAGCACCTGAGCAAAGAGAAGGGATTGGAGAGGGAGCACAGGTATCCAGAACTGCACTACATCCTGCCAACTACCAGGCTAGGGGTATACTCAGAGGCCGCTGGACACACACTCTAAGAGGATGTCCTCGGGACAAAGAGGACTGAGTGATCCCGGGACCCTGGTTTTATGGGTTGGGGTGGGAATGAGCTGTCACTAGCCTCCAGAGCCAGGATGGCAGTTCAGAGGTCAGGCTAAGCCCAGGATACACAGCTGGAAAGGCCTGCAAAGTCTCAACTGCACCATTGTCTCTCTAGAGTGCCCTCTGTGACCATCACCAATATCTCTCTGAGACTCGACTGTCCTATCTGCAAAACAGGGAGACTGAACTAGTTGATCTTTTTTTTTTTTTTAAGAAATATTTTATTGTATTTATTCATTTATTTCAATTTGACCTGAGAGAGACACACACAGAGAGACAGAGGCAAAGTGAGAAAGCAATCTACTAGGTCCAGGACTTGAACCATAGTCAGCCATGTGGGAGTGTCCAGCGCCTTAACTACCACGCCACCGTCTGGCCCCAGAAGAACTAGCTGGCCTTTGAGCCCCTCTCTAGCTGACATAACTTCCAGTGGTGATGTGAGAGAGGCAGCGAGGACACTGACCGGAGAGGGCGGCACCCCCAAAGAGCTGGTCCACGTGCGTGAGGATGAACTCGACAACAATGGACTGCACGCGCACCTCCATGAAGGCTGCTGTCCCATTGAAGCCCGAGGCCTCTATGTCCTTAGACCTGCGGAGATGGGGGTTATTCTCCCTCCTGGCCCCATTACATTTCCCTAGCCAAGCTCTCCCTGAATATTCCACGCCTCTTCCTTGCATGCCCTTAACCCCATCTCCACCTCTTAAACCATTTACCTGCTTAAGTCGCACTCTCGCTCTTTTTTTTTAAGAGAGACTTTTTGCTATAGGGTGTGTGTGCTAGCTGGAGAGACAGAGAGAAATCCCCCCCCAGGGGGATGGTCATGCCACAATCCCTTCTCCTCCAGTCTCCTCTTGGGATTTTGGGAATGCACACACATGCAGTCAGTATGAGTTTTAAGCTGCTGGGTCTGGGACTCAAACTGCAGTGGACCATGTGGGAGTAACCAGTGACGTAACCGTTATACCATCTGCTGGTCCCCATGCTTAAGTCTCCAATGCCACTTCCTCCAGGAAGTCTTCTTAGACACCCTCCTCAGGGTTAATCTCTACGTCCTTTGCACACCAGGGTGCCTTGTTCATAGTGAATTACAGGACTGCTCTGCCCTGAACCACAGCGAGTGATTTGCAAGCTAGTTCTCCAATAGACTGTGAGACATTTGCTCAACAGACCCATCCTGTTCAAGTCTACCCATCCTGATACAGTGTAGGAAAACACAAAGGTCCTGCTCTCAGGGCCTGGACTTGATCTCAGAAAAGGGGCTCAAATGGGTGGGCCCCATCCCACTCAACAGAAACCCTGACTCTCCCTTTCTCACTGAGCTTCATGGGGCCCCACACCCTCTTCAGCACAGCCACACAGCCACATTCCATCCTGGGAGCAGCCTCCCAAAGACCGGCATCTCCCACACCCCCACACGCTGCTCACACACACCCACCTCAGCAGGTTGGGGGCCCATACGATGGCCAGGTTGCGGGCGTGCATGTTGGTCTGGGCGCTGAACGAGGCCATGTGCACCAGGTGCCGCATGAGGAACTCCAGGGTCCTGCGGGGAGGGGGGGACAGGGTCACACAGGGAACACCCTGGACAGGGGTGGAGCTGAGGCCTGAGCTGAAAGGGACCTGTCAAGACTCTGGGTGGAGAGATTGGGCTGTTGGGGAAGTCAGGACTGCCCGGAGCAGGGGAGTTGGGGTGAAGCCCCACATACCTATAGTTTGGGTCAGGCAGTTCTTTAAGCACCTCTAGGATCTTAACCAGACGCTCAGGCTCCAATTGTACCGCCACGGCCTCCTGGTTGGGGAGAAGGGTGCAAGAAGCAGGAGTGGGAGACCCGGCAATACCCCTGCTGACTCCCCAGAGCTGAGCTGCACTCTCAGGAGCAGTCTGTATGCTCCCCAATCTTCCAAGGAGTCTGACAGAGAGAGCTCAGGATGTGGGCCCCATGAGAGACAGCAGCTGGATCTTGGTGGTGCCACCGAATAGCTTTTATGACCTCGGGCAACTCAGTGACACTGCCTACTTTAGTATCCTGCTCAGTAAAGCTCTGGCACTGGGGTACTTCAGTGGCCCCACCTGTGGGTGTCCCAGGGACTGTGGACTTGCTTCTGGATGTCCAGGAAGGCTGACACCCCCTGGTCTAGCTTGTGTGCTCTGATTAGGGTGTCACTGCTGTTCAGGGTCTCTCCACGCAGTTGTGCTCAATAAAATGCAACTTTTTTGTTTGGTTGATTTGGTATTTTTTTGGCTGATTTATTTATTTGTTTGTTTGTTTGTTTATTTATTTAATTCCATTTGTTATTATCATTTATTTAATTTGAACAGAGAGAGACAGAGATATAGAGAAAGGGAAAGCAAGAAAGCAAACCACCAGGTCCAGGATTCAAACCACGGTTAGCCATGTGGGAATCCAGCACCCTTAACTACCATGCCACCTGCTGGCCTCGAAATGCAACTTGTTTTAAAAGAGTTAATTCAGGATAGCATTTTGTCCTGTGTTTTCTCATTCAAAAGATTTAACATCCAGCTACAGTTAATGGAGCGGCATCCTTGATAAAACTTTGGCTTCTATGGGGCTGGCAGGTGGCATGGTGGTTAAGGTGCTAGACTCCCACATAGCCAACCATGGTTCAAGTCCCAGACCTGGTGGCTTGCTTCCTCACTTTTACTCTAGCTCTCTGTCTCTGTGGTCAAATTAAATAATAATAATAATAAATACAATTTAAAAAATTTTTTGGCTCCTAAAAAGTTCTTGGGGCCAGTGGGTGGCATGGTAGTTAAGATGCTAGACTCCCACATGGCCAACCACAGTTCAAGTTCCAGACCTGGTGGCTTGAAAATCCTATCAGGCACGTGTGCACGCATGCCCAAAAATCCCAGGAGAAGAATGAAGGAAAAGGAATTGCAGCATGGCTATCCCCTCATTTCTCACTTTCCTTCTCTCTGTCTCTTTCTGTCTCTCTCTAGTGAGTACAGGCACTCTATAGCAAAACCTAACATTGAAAAAAAAATTTTTTTTTTCAAAAAGGTGTTTTCGGGCCCAGCAGTTAGCGTAATGGCTATGTTGCTGGAACTGCGGTTCAAGTCCCGGACCCAGTGGCTTAAACTCATGCCGGGTGCTTGTGCGTGCATGCCCCAGATCCCCAGAAGAGAATGGAGGAGAAGGGATTGCGGTGTGGCCATCCCTCCGGGGGGTGATTTCTCACTTTTTGTCTCTCTGTCTCTGTCTTTCTGGCAAGCGGACGTGCCCTATAGCAAAAACCTCTCCAAAAAAAAGGTGTCACCTGGGGCCAGCCAGTGGCCTCTTAAAGGCATCTGGATCCCACATGGGTGACTATGTGGTTTTAGTGCTGGACCCAGTGGCTTGAGAAACATGGCTGGTACGTGTGCATGCGTGCCCCAGATCCTGAGAGAACAGTGGAGAGAAGAGAACTGTAGCGTGGCCACCCACCCTGAGAAGCGCTTTCTCACTTTCTCTCTCGTTCTCTTGCTCTCTGTCTCTCTCTGGTGAACACACATGCTCTCTAGCAGATATAGTAAGTAAACAAACAAATGTAATGGCCTTAAAAAAAAAAAAAAAAAAAGAAAACTGAAGTGTTCTCATCAGCATAAGGAAGCCCTGGTCGGTGTGCTTTCCAAGGGCCTTCAGGTCTGATAGTCTGGCCTCTACAGCCCAACCTGCAGGTCTTCGAGGAAGGATGAAATAGAGGGACAATAAAGAGAAGAGGCTCAGGGAGTGTGGGGACTGGCTATTTGTTAAACAAGGAGGTTCTGACTGGGAAGCAGGGGGCACAGCGGGGGAGCTCTAGGCCCTGCAGCCTAGGACAGGGTAGCAGGGGCTAGGAGATTTGGGAAGGAGGGGTCTTTTCCCTCGGAATATAAGACTGTCCCCTCTGTCAACAGGATCACTAGGATTCGGCTGACCCGTGACGTACCTGGGAAACCAGAGAATCACCCCTGAGCCCAGTCTGCCGAGTCCTGCCCCTCAACTCACAGCGAACTTGTCATAGAGCCGGTAGGTGAGCAGGGGGTCTGGCAGCTCTCTGAAATAGGCCTTGCACAGGGAGGAGACGCAGTGAATGTCCTGGAGGTAAACATCCCGGCGAAGGTCTGGCTTCCGTTCTGCCTCAAACTCCTGCCTGGGGAGGTGCAGAGTAGTCAGGAGTGGCACGGATGGGCGGAGTGTGGGGAGAGGGGGGAGCTATAGACACGGGCTCCTGGCAGGGGCATGGGTCATCACGTGCAGGTCTTGGAAGGAGAATGTTGGGTGGGGACAATATGCCCTGTAAGGGACTGCGTATGCCGGCGTGCGGATGTGGCGGGAGGCCGGGCAGCTGCACGGGGAGTGGGTCTGTGCGAACAGAGCTGTGGCAGGGATGCAGCTGCGGGCGTGAGTAGCAGTGCAGGGATAGGCAGGAGTCAGTGAGAGTGAGGAAAGGCCTCAAGTGTGCTTCTAGGTGGGTGTAACAATGGATGGGTCTAACTCAGAGAAACAATGTAAATCTTCACGACCGTGGATAAGGCACGGTTTCTTATCTATGACACCAGAAGGATAAGCAAAGGGAAAATAGATCAACTGAACATCAAAACTGAAAATGTTTGTGTGTCAAAGGACAAAAGTGAAGACAAGGACTGGCCCTTGCGCAGCAGTTAAGGGCTGCATGTGGGTAGCGGCCTGGCCAACCACACTTTGAACCCCAGCCACAATAGCTTGGAAAACATTATGTGCCCCCGATCCTGACAGGGCGGAGAAACGGAGGAAAAAGAACTGCTGCAAGACCATGCCCCATTGGGGGTGCTTTCTCTTTCTCTTGCTCTGGCAAGTACATGTGACTTCTGGTAACTGAAAATAAATACATTAAAATTGGGAGCAGCAGATGGCACAGTAGTTTTGTCACTGGCTCCCGCATGGCTGACTGCAGTTTAAGTCCTAGACCTGACGGCTCGAAACTCACAGCAGGTGTGTATGTGTGTGTGTGAGTGGCCAAAATCCTGAGAGGAGAGTGGAGGAGAAGGGATTATGGCATGGCCATCCCCCCAGGGGATGATTTCTAACTTTCTCTCTCTGTCTCTCCAGTGAGCACACACACCTGTGGAGAGCAGCCAATTTGAACAAACATGGTGACCTTTAGTACAACACACTGTAGAGAAAAAAAAAAAAACCTCTCTCAGAAAAAGAAGAAAAAAAACATGATTCAAGTCTCAGATCCAGCAGCTTGAGAATCATGCTGGACGCATGTGCATGTGTGTGACTGTCCCACCAGGGGGTGATTTCTTGCAGTCTCTCTGTCTTTGGTGAGCACACGTGTTCTGTGGCAAAATTAAGTAGTTAACTTAATTAAAAAATTGTAAATCATATGAGGGAATTTCAAAAAGCTTACAGAAAAACAGAATTAAAGTACAAGTTTATTTTAGTAAAAAAAGAATTAAATCCATGCATAGCTTTTTCATATTATGAATTTTCTATTAACTTTTTAAAAAAAGAATTATTTATTTTTTTTTACCTATTATTATTAGTCTTTAGTTTGACCAGAGACAGACAGAGAGAGATAGAAAGGGAAAGTGAGAAAGCAAGCTGCCAGGTCCAGGACTCGAACCATGGTCAGCCATGTGGGAGTCCAGCACCTTTAACTACCATGCCACCTGCCAGCCCCAGATTTTCCATTAACTTTAAAAAATTATTTATTTCATTTTACTTATTATTATTATTAATTTATTATAGGACACATGTGCTCACCAGAGAGAGACGGGGGTGGGAGGTAATGAGAAAGCAAAGTCTCTGGGTCTGAGACGCAACCTGCACTCAGCCACATGGGAGTCCAGTGACCCAACCACCACCCCTGGACCCACCCACAAACTTTTTGAAGAGCTCTTATATAACTGATAAAAGTCTAGTATTCAGAATTCTTAAAGGCCAGCAGGTGGTGTGGAAGTTAAGGCACTGGATTACCACATGGCCGGCTGTGTGGTTCTAGTCCCAGACCTGGCAGCTTGAAAATTTTGCCAGGCCTCTGTTCATATGTGTCCAAAATCTTGGAGGAGAAGGGATTGCAGCTTGGCCATCTCCCCTGGGGAAGGGGTTGTGTTTTTTCACTTTCCCTCTCTTTCTCTCTCTCTCTCTGGTGGGCATACGTGCCATGTAGCTAAAACTAGGGGGAAGAAGGAAACCTTACAACTCAATGATAAGAAGGTAAATATCCCAGTTTAAAAATGGGTAAAGGGGGGTCAGCAGGTGGCATGGTGGTTAAGGCTTTGGACTCCCATATGTCTGACTGTAGTTCTAGTCCCAGTCCCAGACCTGGTGGGTTGAGATTTACACTGGACATGAGCACTCTTGCCCAATGCCCTGAGAGGAGAATGGAGAAAGGATTGTGGCATGGCTATCCTCCCGGGGAAGTAACTTTTCACTTGCCCTCTCTATCTCTCTCAAAAAAGTGCATGCACTCTGTTGCAAAAACCTAAAAATATTGGTAAAAGATCTGAGTAGACATTTCTCTAAAGAAGACATGCCATTTTTAACTTGGCTTCTTGGCCATTTTAATGATGTTTAACATCATTAGCCATTCGGGAGGTGCAAATATAAATCACAATGCGGGCAACTGGCATGGTGGCTGAGGCAGCCAGATTCCACATGGCCAACAGTGAGGTTCCAGTCCTAGACTCAGCAGCTTCAGGGACACACCAGGCACGTGTGCATGCGTGTCCAAAAACCCAAAGGGAGGAAGAGATGGAGAAGAAATTGTGGTGTGACTATTCATTTTTCCCATTCCTCATGGGAGGGCATACTTCCTCCTCTCCCACTCTCTCTGTCTCTCTCTGGCCAGCGCAGGTGCCCTCTATCAAAAACAAATAAACAAAAACAATGAAACATCAGTGTGTGTCCATATCATCAAAAAGACATACAGTAGCAAGTGCTGCGAGGGCTGTAGAGAAATTGGAACCCTCGCTTGTTGCAGGTGGGAATGTAGAATGATACAGCTGTTATGAACAAGTTTGGCAGTTCCTTAGAAAGCTCAATGTAAGGGAGACCAGCAGATGGCATAATGGTTATGTTGCTGGACTCCCGTGTAGTCGACCGCAGTTTGAGTCCTGGACCCTGGTGACTTAAACTCACACCAGGCACATGTGCGTGCATGCCCAAGATCCTGAGAGGAGAATGGAGGAGAAGGGATTGCAGAGTAGCCCTTCTCCCTCGGGGGTGATTTCTCACTTTCTGTCTCTCTCTTTCTGGCCAGCACACGCACCCTATTGCAAAAACCTCTCCAAAAAAAGATAGCTCAATGTAAGAATTATCATATGACTCAGCAATTCCACTCCTAGGTATACAAGATATTTTCAAAAAGTTTATGGAAAATGCCTATTTTAAAAAAAAAAAGAACTTTTTTTTTAGGGCTGGTTAAGGCAGTGGACTCCCACATGGCTAACCATGGTTCAAGTCCTGGACTTCATGGCTTACTTTCTCACTTTCTCTCTCTCTATTGCTCTGTGGTCAGACTGAATAAAAAAAAGATGATAAATAAAATGAAATAAAATAATTTTTTTAAAAAAGCTATGCATAGATTTTTAAAAATAATTATTTTATTTCATTTTATTTATTCATTCATTTATTTTAATTTGACCAGAGAGAGATACAGAGAGAGAAAGAGTGAGAAAGCAAGCCACCAGGACTGGAACTCGAACCGTGGTTGGCCATGTGGGAGTGTCCAGCACCTTAACCACCATGCCACCTGTTGGTCCCAACTATGCATAGGTTTTAAAATGCTTTGCACCAAAATTAATTTTTATTTTAATTTCATTTTTCACAAACTTTCTGAAGTCCCCTTGTATACTCAAAATAATTGAAAACAAATATTCAATAAAAACTTATACATGAATATTCACTACTAAATTATTCACAATAGTGAAAAGGTAAAAAAACAAAAATGAAAAGCCATCAACTGATAGATAGAATTTTTTTTTAAAAGAATTATTTATTTGGGGCAGCAGGTGGTACAGTGATTACAATACTAAACTCTCACATTGTTGACTGTGGTTCAAGCCCCAGACCTGGTGGCTTGAAACTCAGGCCAAACTCATGTGTATGCATGCCCAAAATCCCAAGAGAAGAATAGAGGAGAAGGGATTGCTTTTGTCTCTTTCTTTCTGTCTCTCTGTCTCTCCAGCAAGTACATGTGCCCTATAGCAAAAATCTCTCAAAAAAAGAAAAGAAAAGAAAAGAAAAAGTGTTATTTATTTAATTTTATTTAACATTAAACATTATTTTTCAACTTGACCAGAGAAAGGCAGAGAGAGAGAAAGGAAAAGTGAGAAAGCAAGAAACCAGGCCTGGGACTTGAACTGCTGTCGGCCATGTGGGAGTCCAGCACCTTAACCACCACACCGCCTGCTGACCCCAGTAATAGAATTTTTTAAAAAATATGATGTAGCTGTAAAATGAAATATTTAGGCAGGAAAAGGAATGAAGTATTATTAGTACATGCTACAATGTTCATGAACCTTGAAAACATCTTTAGAGAGTCAGACACATGAGGCCACATACTGTATGAGTCCATTTACATGAATTGCTCAGAATAGGCAAGTTTGTAGAGACAGAAGTAGATCCGTGGTTGCCAGGTGTGGGGTGAGGGGGAGAAGGGGAGCAACTGCTAAAGGACACAGGGTTCTTTGGTCCAGAACTAGGTTGTGATGATTATTGTACGACCTCGTCAATATGCTGAAAACTTCCAAATTGTACATTTTTAAATGGTGAGTTTTCTGGTGTCTGAATTACACCTAAATTTTTTAAAAGTTGCTGGTGCATGTGGGCATAAAAGGGAGCATGTGTGTGCATGTCCATATACATGCTAGGTTAAGGGAATGGCCCATGGTCTCCACTTTTTCTGAAGAGTCTTGAGAGCCCATTCCAGGTCAGCTGTATAGTCTAGTGGTTAAGGGAGCCAGATCCCACATGGCCAACTAACAGCAGTTCGAGTTCTGACCTCAGTGGCTTGAAAATCTCACTGGGGGCGGGGAGGGGGACAGCAGGTGGCACAGCGGTTGAGTTGCTGGACATCTACATGGCCAACTGTAGTTTGAGTCCAGGACCCAGTGGCTTGGAAATCATGCTGGGTGCAGGTGCACACAGGCCCAAGATCCCAAGAGGAAAACGGAGAAGGAATTGCAACATGGCTATCCCATCTGGGGGGTGATTTCTCACTTTCCTTCTCACTGTCTCTGTCTCTCTCTGGTGAGCGCATGCACACTAAGGAAAAAACCCTCTTAAAAAAAAAAAAAAGAAAAGAACACACTGGGCACAGGTGTGTGCATCCCCAAAATTCCAACAGGATGGAGAAATGAAGAAGTGACAGCAATGTGACCATACCCCACTGAGGGGGGATGCTTTCTCCTTCTTTTTCTTTCTCTCTCTGTCTCTCCATCTCTCTTTGGCAATTAAAAACAAAGTTTCTCCCTAAGGTAATACCTAGCATCTATTCTTCCTTCTCCTGTATCCCCTCATCCCTATCTCGGCTCTCACCAGCAACACTGGCCTCCTGGCCACAGAGTCCTCCCGCCGTGTCTGACTCACCGGAGCTTCTGGATGTTGGAGGAGACCCCTGAGAGGCGGTAAATGCCGTCCACCACTCCATACTCCTGCACAAACTCGGCACAGCTCAGTAGCACCTGGGGCACTGGGACAGAGAAAGAGGTATTAGAAGGCCTGGAGGTCAAAGAGGGGCCTAAGAAATGGAAACTTCAGGGAAGGAGGTCTGGGGCGGATTGAAGGCAAAGCTCCCACATGGAATAAGACCTTGTCAAGAAGATTCTTGCAGGTCATCAAGCTGCCACCCCTGTACAGGATCTCTGGCCCCTGGGTCCTAGAGCCGCAGCATGAAACCCTGCCAGCCAGAGAAGGGAGCTCCCTGCCTCTTCGGAGTCTCACTCCCTTACTAGAAAGTTCTGCCTTTGTTGAACGGAAGATTGTCTCTCTGTAGTTACTAGTGGCTGCACCCGAATGTTTGAAGAGACAGCAATCTGGCTGGTAGGCCAGGCGAAGTAAAGGACTAGCCTTCAAAGTACATTTATTTAACATTCTACACTGCAGGAAGGGACATTAACTGTCCCAGCCAAAATGGAACAGGGCTGATAGGGATTTGTTTTATGGGTTTTTGTTTGTTTGTTTTGTTTTGAGATGTTTTTGCTATAGGGTGAATGCACTCACCAGGAAGACAGAGCAAGACAGAGAGACAGTGAGAAATCACCCCCCAGGGCGTGAGTTTAAGCCAGCAGATCCTGGACTCGAACCTGCAGTCAACTACATGGGAGTCCACCAACATAGCCATTATGCCAACTGCTGGTCCCCTGATGGGGATTGTTTTTAAGTACCCTTTCTGGTAAGAAAGTTGATGACTCTAGGACCATGGTAATGTGGTGGTTAAGGTGCTGAACTTTCACATGGCCAACAGTGGTTCGAGTCCCAGACTTGGCAGCTTGCTTTCTCACTTTTTTTCTCTCTGTTTTTCTCTGGTAAGCACACATGCCCTATAGCACATTTTAAAAATAGTAATTAAGTTAATAGTTCTTTAAAAAAAAAAAAAGAATGGCTATAGTTCTGAAATAGGAAAGTGCATGAAATAGTGACAGACCTTCAGATTGGTCGATTCAGGAGAGAAGCCCCTCTCTGCCATCTTCAGCACTAACAGCTTTATATATATCCTATTATTTAGTCTTGTAGGCTGGACACTCTTGTTCCCATTTTGTAGATAAAAAATTGAAGGTCAAAGAAATGAAAGATGCCCAGGAAAGCCTAAGTGAAGCCAAAATTCAAGCACAGAGCACAGGGCTGGGTGTGGCATAGCAGTAAAATGTTCAAGGCCACCCACATGGGAAGGTTCTAGATTCACATCAGAGACTTCCCCAAGTACACCAAGCACAGGAATCCCCATGATTCAGTGTGGCCTGATACTGTGAATGGATCGAGGCATCGAGATCCTGTCAGGGTGCTGTCTCTCTGTCTCTCTCCCTCTTTCTGTCTGTTTTGTTCATGGAAGAAATAAATAAATTAAATTTTAAAAAATCCAGGGGTTGGCCCTGTGGTCTAGTGATAAGGGAGCTAGATCCTATATGACTGACTACACAGTTCCAATTCTAGCCCTGACAGCTTGAAAAACTGATAAGCTTATGTGCATGCCTCAAAATCCTAACAGAATAGAGAAGGGATTGTGGTGTGAGCATGTCCCGTTGAGGGTGCTTTCTTGCTCTCCCTATCTCCCTCCATCTCTCTGTTGAGCACATGTGCTCTTTGGCAATTTGCAAAAAATAAATAAATAAATAAATAACAAGGGTGCCGAAAGCTGTATTCTCTTGCCCGACTCCAAGCTAGTATGTGAATTCCTTAAACACAAGGTCTACGTGGGATCCACCTTAGTATTCCTCATGTCACCTGACATAGTGTTTCCATGTACTTATCTTTCCAAAGCACTTCCCTGCTTTAAATCTCAGCTACAAATACACCCTGCTCCACCCCACTCACATCTCCACGCTTACCTGACAGATGCAGACTAGAACATACATTGTTCCACATGGTATGTAAGGCCCTTCACATCCCAGGCCCAGCTGTCATTCTTCCCAGCCTCAGCTCCAGCCAAAGCCCCAACAAATCCTACGATCCGCCCTTTGCTAGACCATGAACAAGCTTTGGTACCATCACTCAGCTATTCCCTTTCCTGGAAGTACTCTCCTTTCTTATTCTGCCTGGTGAATTCCCTTGCGTTCCTTAAAACACACTCAACCATCACCTCCAATTCTGAACCCTGTGCTTATGTCAGGACCACAGTTCCCACAGTCTTTGCTCTTGTCTGTGTAGCAGTTATTTTACTTTGTTATAATTAGTGTCTCTTGCATCCGTACCATCTGACAAATAGTGACATCCTCCCAACATCTAGCACAGTGCGGAAACAGCAGGTACTCAAGTGTCTACTAAATGACTCACTGAGTTCATCAATCAACTATAAGAATCAATGACATCCCTCGGGGATTTGATAGAGTATTGCCTATGAAAAAAACATGAAGTCCTTTAAACTCAAACTCACCAGAGAAATCACTCTCACATGACAGTGTCAGAAAAAGCTGTTTCTCCTAAGCTGTTTTGCTTCCGTACAGGCCTTAGGACTCTCGTACCCAGTTGGATGGATCTCTTTGAGCACCAGGAAGCTCAGAGCCCCCTCTGCCATCCACATAGAGTCCCCTGATTTGCTCTACTGGGTGCTAACCTTCCTTCTCCTCTTGTTTTTCCTTCGACCTAAGTCCTTCAGTCATGTCTTCTTTTTGTAAAGTTTTGTTTTTGTTTTTGTTTTGGAGAGGTTTTTTCGCTATAGGGTGCGTGCGCTCGCCAGACAGACAGAGAGAGACAGAGAGACAGAAAGCAGGAAATCACCCCCCGGGGGGGATGGCCACGCCACAATCCCTTCTCCTCCATTCTCCTCTTGGGATCTTGGGTACACACGCACACGCGCCCAGCGTGAGTTTTAAGCCACCGGGTCCAGGACGTGAACCGAAGGTTGACTACATGGGAGTCCAGCGACATAGCCATTACACTAACTGCTGGTTCCCTGTTTTGTTTTTTTGGAAGTCACCTCAAGTTCTTTGTAAAGTATGCCAGAAATACGAGGGGGCTTTTAAAAGTTTGTAGAAAACAGAATTAAAGTAGGAGTGTATTTTGGTGCAAAAACTTTGAAATCCACACATAGTTTTTTGGTAAGTCACATTTTTCCATAAACGTTTTGAAAGCTCCCCATAAGGAATAAAGGAAACAGTCGATAAATCCAACAGCCTACCTTCTACCTCTCCTCGTGACCAGGTTTCCAGACCCTTTGCCCTCTGCACACCACAGCCAGGACTTGAGTGAGACAAGGGAGGCATCTGGGGTGCAAAATTTAAGAAGCACCCACTCTTGGGGCCATGTGGATGCCAAGAGTGCACGTGGATGGTCTTGAGAGTGAATACCCCCTTAAAAATGAGGCGACTGGGTAGGGAGTGCTGTCCCTACATTTTTCACCCTAGTCACCTCTCTTGCTTCATCTTACAGTTCACCGTCCACTCCTTGGGACCTGCTCCCATTTGCCAGGGTCCCAGCACTGAGGCAGAGCTGGGCTAGGCCCTCTTCGTTCGAGCTGCTGCCCTGCTTACGAGGGCCCAATGCCACACCAATTCTTGATCACCACATTTCTCTGTTGACTCATGAGAAGTCTGCTGTCACCTGAACCCCCAGGTCCTTATCACATGAATAACAACCAAACCGGAGCTTCCCCATCCTGTCCTGCTCGACTGATTTTAAACCTCTAGAGGAGGCTCTCAGAGTCATGTGGGGCAGGGAGTCAGAGCCATAGAAGAAATGGGTCAAGGAGACAGGAGAAGAGTTGGCAGAATCGGAGAGACGGGCAAGTCTGGGAAGACCAGAGATCAGAAGGTGAGGTCAGAGATCAACCTTTCAACCAGGGTTGTTGGAGTGATGGATTCAACAAAATGGAGACACCAAGGGCATGGGGAGGGGTCAGAGAAGAGAGTCCAAAGCCTAGCGACCTGGGGAGTCAGACACCTGAACAGGATATTGGGTTGTCAGAAAAGTTCTGAAGTATTTTTCTGTTTGTTTGTTTGTTTTCATGCAAAAATGCATCATGACTTTTACGACAACCCAATATAAAAGAGATAAAGATGAAAAAACCAGGGCTAGCAGGTGGCATGGTGGTTAAGTGTGAGCTCAACACTCCCACATGGCTGACTACGGTTCAAGTCCTGCGCCTGGCAGCTTGCTTTCTCACTTTCCTTCTCTCTCTCTTTCTCCATCTCTGGTGAATTAAAATAATAATAATAATAATAAACTAAATAAAATTATTTTTTTTTTAAAAATAGAAACCTCAGTATATATAAGAAGACTTCAAAAAGGTTGTGGAAAAATGGAATTGAAGTACGAGTTTTAGAGCAAAAAATATAAATCTATGCAGTTTTCACATATTTCACACTTTCCATGACCCTGTGGAAGATATCCTCTATAGCCCTTGGGGAAGGAAGAGCCCCAGTTGGGGAGAAAGCTCTGAGAAAGAGGACTGAGATGGAGCAAAGTTGTGAGGATGGGAAGAACAAGATCAGGAAGATAAATTAACCAGAAACACAAATCTCCCTACTCTGGCCTTGGTCATCTTGCCGGGTCCTGGGCTGAGGAGAAAAACCATCGCTGGCCCCTCTCTGTCCACTTTCCATCTCTCTGCACCAGAAGGAGCTTGGAGGATAGGGGAGAAGCTGCCACTGGGGCCCAAGGTCACTCACCGTTGGGCTCAGGTGAGGTCCTGGTGAGGGGAGAGGGTGCTGATCCCCCGATACGGAATTCACCCAGAATCAGGACCCAGCAACCAGACAGCCATCCCCTCACCTTCCCGGAATGCAGAAGGAAGCTGGGAGGGTCACAGGAGGTGCGTCTGGGCTGGCTGTGGCCTCAGTTTCAAAAAAGGGCTGGCAAGTGGGCCGCAGGAAAGGGCCAGACCAGGAGGAAGGTGACTGAGGGTGTGCAGGGAGCTGGGAAAGCACCAGCCCCGGTGAAATCAGAGTCATTGGCCCAGCCTCATCAGTTGAGAGGAATCTTTGTGAGCCCTGGTCCCTCAGTGAGAAGAGGAAGGCCCTGTGCACCCTGGGGACGCCAGCTTCAGCTGCTGTGTGCTCTTCCTTGGGGCCCAGGCTTTCCCTTAACCAAGGCCAGTGAGGATGGGGCCTTCAGAGGGGAGGAGAAAAGGGGAAGGAGGTGTCTGGGGATGCAGGGGCGGGGCTGAGAGCAGGAAACCAGCTGGGAACCACCATCGGCCTCCCTCTGGTGCAGGCCCCACAGCCCAGAGCAGAGGAGAGGACAAAGAGGAAATGACAGATTGGGGTGGGGTGGAGTGGGGGGAAGAATCGTGCCCTTCTCTGGGAGGAGCTCCAAGTGCTAAAAACAAGCAGGGCTGGGCCTCCAGGATACCTGGACTCAACCTCAAATCAAATCAAGAAACGGTCTTGAGTGGCTACCCCGGGTCAGATGCAGTCTTGGTCTCTAATCTTATCCCTGGGCCTGCTGGCTTCTAAACCCACTCCAAGGCAGCTCAGGAAGGAGCTGAGTGAGGTCCACAGAGTCCCACGACCACCTTGCCCTGCACCTTCCACCCCCAGCTCCAGACCAGGCCTCAAGCCATCTTTTTCACTCTTCTGTTGTGGGTCAGTCTCCCCTTGCCCTGGGTGTTGAACCTTTCATCCTGAGCACAAAGAGAACCAAGAGTCACAGAGACGGGGAGAGGAGGCCGCCCCCACCGACACCCTCACCTGGGCCCAGCGAGGATGCAGACAGGCCAGAACCCATCCCCTTGTTCCTGGGCCCTCCTCCAGCTAGGAAACCTCTATCCACTCCAACAGCCACTCCCAGACTTGCCTAGAGCTTTCCCCCTTTCGTACAGACCTGAGGACCCTTCGGGGCTCCTTCAACAGCTCCTCTTCCAGCTCCGTCATCCCCTCCCGTCTGTTGCATCCGCTGTTTCCAGTCTCTCCATCCTCTCCCCTCACCGCTCCACCAGTCTCACGTTCTCATGCCCCAGCCACCCCATCCCCAGAGACTTCTTCACCGAGCCGCGTTTCCTGTCTTGCCTGCTCATAGGTCTCTTGGGAGGTGATTCCACCTACTGCCCCTTCCCCAGAAGCCCCCAAAGTTGCTTCAGCCTCTCAGACTAGGTCAGGTGGGAGCACCTCCCGGCCACCAGCCCACAGCTCTGAAGCACCCCGCTTACCCTCCTGGCCGGAGTGCTGCAGGTGCTCCTGCAGGTCACACCCGAACACTCGCTCCTTCGAGCTGCCCTTCTTCTTTCCTTTTTGCCGAGACTTCATGGCCGGAGCCCCAGGACTCTGGCCCAGCCACCTCTGTCCCCCAAGACCTTTGCCCTAACAGTCCCCCATGGAATCCCCGCTGGCCGCTGGGCTTGGCCCAGCCCTACATGGGCAGGGCTCCAAACGGGGGTGGAGGGTGGCCTGGGCAACCAGCAGCAGCTCCTGCCTCTGGGGCCCCGGCCACACGGAAGTGGCTGTGGAAGAGGAAGCTGCCAGGACCCTGGCAAGAAGCGGCGTCTCGTGGCCCAGCCTGGCACTTGCTCTGCTCACCCCGCGCAGCTTTGGGGGGGCAGGAAGCTGTGCAGCTCCTCAAACCCGCTTCCTGTTAGAGCATCTTTGCAACCACAGACATGGGGTGGGGGAGGTAGTACATTCACATCCTCACTCATGGCTGGGACTTCACTCATTGGCCAGGGCGAGGTGACGTCAGAGCCCTGGGGTGGGGTGATGGCGCCTGGGCCATGTGCAGGTGACCGAACCCTCAGAGGCCACAATTCCTGGGCCCAAAGCAGAGGTCTGAGGCTTGCCTGGGGGGCACGGTGGCACAGGGTGTGCAAAGCACACCCATGAAGGAGCCTGGGCTCTGCCTCTGATGGGCCCATCACTTCAGTCAAGTCGCATTACTGAGTCTCAGTTTCCACATATATGAAAATGAAGGGAGTGGACTAGAGGATTTTTTTTTAATTGCCAGAGGGCGTGTACACTCACCAGAGAGACAGAGAGACAGGGAGAAAGCACTCTCCCATGGGGCGTGGTTAAACCTCAATCTCTCCTCCATTTCTCCATCCTGTTGGGATTTGGGACACAAGCAGACACGTACCCGGCCTCTTCTTCAGGCCACTGGAGGCTATGGTCAGCCATGTGGGGTCTGACTCTCTTACCCACAGGCTACAGGGCCGGCCCTAGGTCACCTTTGAAGCCTCTCAGCTCTAACAGCCTGTGCAACTCATGTCATTTGAGTCTCGGCTTCTTTATCTATAAAAAGGGCACACTGAGGCCTACGTTGCACAGATGCCGTTGTGAGTCTCCCGTATAGTACAGGATTTAAAACACGTCGGGACCAGCAGTTAGCATAATGGCTATGTTGCTGGACTCCCACGTAGTCGACCGCGGTTCGCATCCCGGACCCGGTGGCTTAAACTCACGCCAGGTGCGTGTGCGTGCATGCCCAAGATTCCGAGAGGAGAATGGAGGAGAAGGGATTGTGGTGTGGCCATCCTCCCTGGGGAGTGATTTCTCGCTTTCTATCTCTCTGTCTCTCTCTCTCTGTCTGGCGAGCACACACGCCCTATAGCAAAAACCTCTTAAAAAAAACACACACACACACACACACGTCACAAACAGCTAAGGCATGGTGGATCCTGGGAAGGGTTCTCCGTTCCACCACCCGACCTCAGAGACCGCTGAAGGCCTTGCAGAGGCC